CAGCACCAAACTCACGGTAGTGCTGAACCCAAACCTCATACCTAATTGGGATTAACAACTTTAGAAGTGGTGAGATGGGGCAGATATAGAGGGATATCTAGAAAGGTATACAAAGCTGCAGCTAAAGAGAGAAATGGGTCCCTGGTGTGCAATTCATCTCACATTTACTTGTAGCATTTATCTAAGTGTGTTCTGTCAGTTTTGTTTTTGTAGACAGCACCATGGTACAACATGGACGTCATTTATCACCTTCTTCAGAATACTGTTAATCCCACCAGTTTCCATCAAACATTTCAAGGGATAATATGCAACCTTATTATTAAATAAATCCTTGTGGTACAAGCTTCAGAGGTTACTTTTGTATAGGTATCTTAAGGCATACAGATTTTATGCATGTTGAGTAGTAAAAGGGAACATACCACACCATGATACAATTGCTTGTTGATGCTTCTGCTGTGCTGACTATATAAATAATGATAACAAATATGCTTTTACCAATGCATGGGTCATAGTTGATACTACATTCTCATTCCACTTTATGCCATAGAAATATATTAAGCTGGTTTAAGATTGCTCATTTAAAGGAGAACTGTTGGTATTTAAATATGTTAGAATACATTTTAGTTATTAATATTTTGCAATTATTAATGGTAACTCCAATTTTTCAGTTAATCAGTTTGGGTAATTTACAAAAGGCATATATTTTGCAAATCAAGAGCTTTGTTCCTGTACTTTGGAAGCTGTGTATTAAACTGCATCCATGATCAACCTGTGCTGACTCCACCGTAGCCACCTGGAGCTTTCAAAGACCTATATGATGGGCTTTTGCTCACATCAGAACTATTTATCTCCCCACACAAGTTTGTAGAAATGCAAAAGGAGCTTGAAGGTCAGATGAAAGAAATAAGGAGGTTAAATGCACACGCAATTAATTCTGAATGATCTCAGAAAAGTCTTAAACTGATGTCAGAAGCAAACTGCATTTGTCCAAAGTCACAAGCACAATGCCCGTTAACACCAGTCCTAATGCAGCTATGGTCCCACTTACTACACACATAGACTCCTCATCACCTCTTTAGCAGCAAAATAAGAAAAAGCAGATAGTAGATTTGACTATGAAATCATGTTATTTGTGTTCAAGCAGATTGAATGGGGGAGGGGCAGAAACTTTGGTCTTATCCTGTTATTTCTCCTTGCCTTTACATAAATGATGCCTGCAGTATCTACCAGTGCTGCCTATTCCTGCCCCACCTTGTCCATTCACATCTACACATATACTGAGCCTAGCCAAGTATTATTGTTTAGAGTAGCATCATCTGGCAGAAGAACACTTAATATTGGGTGGGCTCCATTTTGCAAGGGCTGTAATAGTTCCCTGCACAATGAAGCAGAGGTTCATTTAAAGCTGCTGATGGAATTGAGATGAAGGAAATAGTAGATTAAGGTTTGTGTCTTTGGGGTCAAGTAGATGGAATAAGGGAAGGGGGGGGGGGGTTAGAAAATCTGTTCTTATCTTGTTGTCTTCTTTTTTCTTCTTGCCTTCAGACAAATGGGTACATGTGGCATCTACCACTGCTAAGTATTCTAGCCCACATTTTCTCCATTCATGTATAAACGTATGTGTTTAGCCCACCCAAGTATTACTGTTTAGAGCTGCATCAGCTGGTCTCTAAGTCTGTGCAGAAGAACATCCAACATTGCATGGCCTCCATTCTGCAAGTGATGTAATAGTTATCCTAGCTGGAGGCCTTCTGGGGATTTGCTGCTATATCTGCAGGTATCCAGGATGCTCCATATTTAAAGTGCACTTCACAGAGTAGATGTGCAAAAATGTATTTCAATACCAATTTTATAGCGTAAAAATACACATATGAACTTTGAATCTTTCACTGGATGTAAAATTGAATATATCCCTTTTGTAAATAATCCCTATTGCTTCGAGCTGTTATTTAAATAGACTTTAGCTTTAAATGGAGTAAGATATTGTAGACTTAGCAGTAGTAACACTGGCAAGTTTTAAGAATTTGCTGCTTAATGTATAACTCTGCCTTCCAGTTCTCCTTTAAAGATTTCTGCAAAAAAGTTTTTTTTAATTTTTTTTTTTTTACATTTTATGATAATGGTTTTGAAGTGTGAAGATGATAAAGAAATATGATAATATTAAACTTAAAAATACGTCAGTTTGAGCATCTGAGAATGGCTGACAGTATAGCACAGTATTTGTTCTGTGCTGAGTATTGAAATCCAAAGAGGAGTTTTGCGACTTGACTAACAATAACATCACCACTAGAAGTATGATTTTGCTCTGATGTACTGTCCTTTCTCATAGTAGTAGAGGAATAGGATCTGTTATTTGGATATATGACAACCAGATGCTTCTGGAAACCAAACAGAAACAAATGTCAAGTACTATTCAGAAAGCATCTTTATATAGCAATACTATGACCATATTTTAAGCAGATAACCCATCCATCCCTTAAAGGGATCCCTGACATCCTCCCAGCACATACCAGATGCTTCAGGACCTAGGCTTACCCAGTGAGGGATTTCACTCCATTCCTGTCCAGACCTGGATGACTTTGATGACATCATGATTTTTACACAAAATACGCATTTCGTTTTGCGCTCTGGTGAGTGCGCATTCTTCTCATTTTTGACTGCACAAGCACCAAGTTCTAGACGAACACAGGATTCCCGTTCATGTCATTATTCACTTTATGAACTTTTTATTGTTTTTTAATACAGAAATGTCAAGCACTATTTAGAAAGCATCTTTATATAGCAATACTATGACCATATTTTAAGCAGATAACAGAACTGGACAGGGGTTCTAGATCACTTTAATTTAAAGTAAAACTATGATGTCCCATTTAAAAAAAAAAATGTGCTGCAGCTTTGGCTATTAGTGCTGTTGTTTACATTTCAGCCTGCCATTGAAGTCCTTGTAATGCATCTTCCTGTGATGGGGTGGCAATGATGCTGCACTGCTTTTGAATTTAGAGCAGAGTTGCCACTCTCATGTAGGATGTGCCTGCTTGTACTACAATGGACTTAGAAGGGGGCTTGGCTATCAGTTTTGTAACTGATGATTCAAAAGCCTGTAGCTTGTCAATCAGCACCTGACTGCACCTAGTCCTGCCCACTGCTTTCTGAATTGATAGCACTGCCCCCGTTACTGAAAGCCTCCCATTGTGAGTTGCTGTGTCTGGGAAGGTGTGCATGTGTCAGGGAAGGTAAAGTACATTTTTTGTTTACTTTATGTGCATCACATAGTAAGTGATTATGGTACTTGTTTAGACTGTCACACAGGAACCTTTAGATGTACTTTAACCTCTTTGCGCAAATGTGTGGCCTCCCGGTGTCTGGGCCTTGATGCCAAGCGGCCGCACATTTGCACGCAATTAAGAAAAACGTGCTGAGAGCATGCTCCCTGCTCAGTCCCAGCACACATGTCCGGTACTCAAGGAAAGGTCCCGATCTCCTCTTTCGACTGGGACCTTTCCCGATCATGTGACCACCATGACAGTGAATCGTGGCGGTCACATGCCCCTAAAACCCCGCCCCGCCTCCCAGCTTCTGAAACCCTTAAAGGGCCAGGAGGCGCCGGTTTTAAGGGGTTAAGAGATGAAGTCAGAGGAGGAAGTCAGAGATGTTTAGAGCAGGGGAACAAATACTTTTTTTTTTTCTGCAGTGCCAAAAGAGAAGCACAGTGCTGAAAATTAAAGTGGAACTGCACTGCATCCAAGCACCACCAACCAAAAATGCTATTTAATTCATTTTTAATATTCAAAGCAAACTCTTCCATTCATCCATGTCTCCATGCTTTATTATGCTGAAAAATCATTTTGAAAAACATCCCCTGGCATTTCTGGCAGTGGCCATCTTGAGTGAGGGCAGATGATTCATGTATCATTTACTTACTGGAATCCATCAGTCCTTAGCTCAGGCATATGTTGAGCTGAGAACCCTCCATCCCCTCCTGAAGACTGCTGGGATGTGTGACATAATTTGCCTAGGCATGGAAACCAGGAAGTAACTGAAGAAATGTAAAAACAAAGTTTAAAACAAGTAAATATAATATACTTTCCTATTTATTTACTAATTCTAGCAGCATAAGGATTAGAAATAGTCAATGCTGATTGAGAGAGTGAAGTTCTTCTTTAATGTATACATCTATAGGCACAATACAACCTCTGCAAAGATTCTCTGGCTGATCAGTTTCCGAGTAAGACTTGAGCAGTCAGACTGGATTTTCCCATCTTGTTGCTGTCCTTCAAGATAATAGTAACACCAGTGATTTCTCCTCAGTGCATAAAATATGATCTGTAGAAGGATTACGAAGCAGACATTCTTCCAGTTCATATTTTATGACTACAGAGTGTGGATTAAGATGTAAGGTAGGTTGCTCTATGAGAAAGGACAGATATACGAGTTGTCTGCTAATTCAAAATACTTCTAAAAGATATACAATATTTGACAGTTACAGGTACATTATTTTATATAATGCATGTCTATCACTATTCCAATCTGCAATTACCCATGGCTGCGTAGAGCATGTGCACCCACATTTAAAGTAGTGCATGTTTTGAACTGAAATCTGTGCTGACTTTCTATAACTGACTTTTGTAATACAAAACTCTGCTATCCAGCTTATTTTATCTGTCACTCATTCTTCATTTTATTATTTTTTTATTATAATTTTGTGTTCTGTTTGTTTTTTCTCTCTTCTTTGACATGTTTCTGTTATATCCTTTATTTTAACATTGTATCTCTTTTTTTCTGCAGTTTACATTTATGTGAGTCCATCTTTCCACTATCAGGTCTTTATTTTTTATATTGTATAGTTTCTCTTTTGTATGTGGTATGTTATTTCTTTCCCACACAATCCATCTGTTTAGATTTTTTTTTAGTTATCTCCATGTCTGAAAGCAGATTGAAAACATAAATTCTCCCCAGCGCCAGAAATGACGTGTCTTTTTTCTTCCTAATTATTATACTAGGTGGTTGTAAATGCACTGATCGGAGCCATTCCCTCCATTATGAACGTGCTTCTGGTTTGTCTGATATTCTGGTTGATTTTCAGTATAATGGGTGTCAATTTGTTTGCGGGAAAGTATTATCATTGCGTTAATACTACCACTGGTGAAATGTTTCCAATTACTGAAGTTGAAAACCAGTCGGACTGTATGCTATTAATAAAGGCCAATGAAAGTGCGCGGTGGGAAGAACGTTAAAGTCAATTTTGATAATGTAGGAGCTGGTTATCTTGCTTTACTCCAAGTGGTAAGTAAAGTCATTTTATTCAATTCTGTTACTTCAGTACTTGTATATGCTCCTGATTGTGTGTAGTAAATACTGGTTTTAATTTTAAAGGTCTGTTTCACCAAATTAGATCATGTTATTATTTGTTGGCTTCTTAACTGCCTCCCGCCGGCCATATAGTAAAATGACGGGCGCAAGGTGGTTCTCTCGTTCTGAGAGGACGTCATATGACGTCGTCCCATCCTAACCGCACATGCGATCGCTCCAGGAGCGCACGGCGATCGGCGGTGCGCTGTGTCCCTCGGACACAGTGGATCACCAATCAACGGAAAGAGCCGAAGATGTCGGCTCGGTCATGTGATCAGCTGTGTCCAATCACAGCTGATCACATGTAAATAGGGAGATGCCGGTTATCTGCATTTCTCTCCTCACGAGCTGTCACGCTGACAGCTCGAGAGGAGAGCCGGTAATCGGCATCCCTCAGAAGGGACATGTACACTGATCATCAGGGCACTGATGATCAGTGTGCCCTGATGATCTGTGTAGCCCCAGCAGTGCCACCTGTCAGTGTCCATCAGTGCCAGCTGTCAGTGCTCATCCATGCCACCTGCCAGTGCCCATCCGTGCCAAATCAATGCCACATTTCAGTGCCCATCTGAGCTGCCTTTCAGTGTCACCCATTAGTGCCAGTCAGTGCCACCTATCAAAGCCAGTCAGTGCCACCTATCAGTGCTGCCAATCAGTGCCACCTATCAGTGCCGCCTATCAATGCCAGTCAGTGCCGCCTATCAGTGTGCATCAGTGCCGCCTATCAGTGCCCATCAGTTCTGCCTATCAGTGCCATCTAACAGTGCCAGTCACTGCCGCCTATAAGTGCCAGTCAGTGCCGCATATCAGTGCCATATATGAGTGCTGCCTTTCAGTGCCCATCAGTGATGCCTGTCAATGCCCATCAGTGCCTCTTCATCAGTGCCACATATCAGTGTCCATCAGTGCAGTCTATCAGTTCCCATCACTGCAGCCTCATTAGCGCACATCAGTGAAGGAGAAAAATCACTTATTTACAAAATTATATAAAAAAAACTAAGAAAAAATGTTTTTTTTTTTCCAGAATTTTCAATGGTTTTTGGTTTGTTTAAGAAAAAAGAAAAAACCCAGAGGTGATTAAATACCACCAAAATAAAGCTCTGTCTGTCACAAAAAAATGATAAAAATTTCATATGGGTATAGTGTTGCATGACCACGAAATTGTCATTCAAAGTGCACCAGCGCTGAAAGCTGGAAATTGGCCTGGGCAGGAAGGGGGTATAAGTGCCCTGTAGGCTAGTGGTTAAAGCTCTTTGGGATGCAAGAGATGAAAGAAAGCAACAAAGTCATATGTTAGTGTCTTCTTATAGTAGAGAATGGCAATATTGGCTTGGCCTAGTTGGAGGAGGTAATGCACAAACCACAAAAATACATGTTAAGGGTTCTGTGTCTTCCTCTCTCTGCCCAAAGCTAAAAATATGGTTGAGCTTTAAAACTCTCTAAGATCCTTGATGAAACTTTTTTGCTGTGTTATTGTATTCTAACGGTGGGGAGCCTTCCCCACTGTCAAAATACACTGATCAGCGCTGCTGGATATAGCTGGTGGCACTGATCATTCAGGAAAAAAATGACAGGCTGCTTATACAGAAGTAGATTGGTAGATCGACTTCTGTTCAACCAGCCTGCCCATACATGGATCGAAATTCAGCCACTCCCTCCTGAACCCGCTTAATTTCAATCTATGTGATTTCACCCTTAGCTATGTGTACAGGTGTCCATTTAAGACGCTCAGTCATGTGCAGGTAAGTTTTAAAAAAATTGGATTGACTCCTACATATAAAGGAATGATTGCTGCAATTGCAGACTTTCTTCATGAACAATAAAAATACTCTTTTAAAGAAAACCTGTACTGTGAGAAACATGAAGACTACCCTTATTACCACCATTTGAAAATGCTAGTTGCCTGCTTTCATTACTTTCTGAGACACTGGTCTGCAAAAGACATGGAATCAGGACTGTCAGGTGAAAACTGAATTCCTAATCAGTATATTAGCTCTGGGTTTAGTGTGACTGAGAGCTGATTCACACATGTGCGGTGCGGATTGAAGCTCAGGTGTCCCAGCTAATTGTTACAGTATTTGTTCAGCAGTTCATGTCAGGTTTACGTCAGTTTCAGGACAGGATTAGCAAAGGATCTTATCCTGTTAACACATATGCAGTTTAGAAACGGTTCCCATAGAAGTCAATATCCTGTATTCTGCACCTGAACCTGAACGCACTGCTCAGAAATCGTACATGACTCTTTTTCAAACCGCACTGAATCCTCACTGCCAGTGCACTGAACATAAGTGAACAGGCACCATAGGAAGCAATGTTATTTCACATGTCATGCAGATTGGATGGGGTTCAAACCGCATTCAATCCAAATATATGTGAACGGGCACTGAGAGTACTAACGCCACTGGATCAATATGCTAGCAAGGGTGGATTTCCAGAAGGATTGGTTGGTAACAGAAGCCTCTGAACCTTTGCAGTACAGGTTTTCTTTAACATATCACCCCCTCAATGTCTGACTTCCAAATTAATGTGTCAAAATATCCCATATAAAATCTTTCAACTATGGTAACTAAAGAGGCTTAACAAAATAGCTTATATACTGTTACTTAGCGTAGCGTTAAGTCCGTAGTAGCCACAAGAAGAATACTGTCCAGGTTTTCCCCACCAGCTTTGCCCCACAACCAGGCATATAGGCTCAATCACACACTTCCCCAATGACCACTCTAGGGATGTTGTTTTTGTGGTTTGTATATTTTGGAGAACTTAAATAGGGTTGAGGAAATTAAGTGGGATACTCCAAAGGCAAGAACTATGTACACCTGAGGACTTATTGAGGAGGTATTCTTTAGGATAAGCTGTAACAAAGTCTGTGCTTGAAACAAACAGTAGACTTCAGATTTAAAGTGGTAGTTGTAGTGGTAGTAGTAGTAGCAAACTAGAGCAGAATCCCTTCAAGTTGGAGATTAAGTGGACAAAGCTCTTCAGGACACCAGCCGGCATCCCCTATAACTGAATCCAGAGCTGACTCCCTACATCCAGAGGGGTTTTAGCAGCACAAAGTCTCTAAGATCCTTTCAGAAGTGTCTGTACTCACTAGGCACAATTACAACTGGTTTCCTTACTCCATCATACCAGAGTGGATCTTCAGTAGGCGTTCCCCCTAACAGAACCCAGGTCTCTGTATTTAGGCCCTCAGATCTCCCACCTGAGTCCTACGACAGTAGATGCAGAAGCATGCCCCTTCCAGACCGGAACAATCCTATGCAGCAAAGACCTTGAGCTTAGTGTGCTCACTGACTATATACAGGTACCCATGCCTCTATTCATGCTGCCATCTGCATAGCTCCACTCCTATCCTCCAAAAACTTCTCAAGCTTCCTGGATGGAGAGGGAGCTATCAGGCTGGCAGCAGCTGAACACACTGAACAGACCTGAGGAGCAAATCACACCAGCACTGATTACAGTGTGAAAGTTATGCTTTTGCCTAACAACAATTACAACACTTACTACAGTGTGGTAACTAAATTTACCTATGAAAACACATACTAAATCTATCTAAACTTAGCACCTATCTAGGAAGGTGCTACTTTAGTATATTGCCAGCTTTGATCATCAACACATGTGGGCAGTTTCAATGTTGTGAAATTTATCTTACAATTTATATGTATCCCAATAAAACATAAATGTTTTTTGCTGACTTCCTTGCTCCTAACTCTAGAAATCTCTATATATATATTTTTTAGGCAACATTTAAAGGCTGGATGGATATTATGTACGCAGCAGTTGACTCGCGAAAGGTTGGTACCAATTATGAACAACTGATTTTATTTATGTAAAATCCATTATCTTTAGGATGACATTCATGATTGATGGTGGATGGGTTTTTGTAAGATCCATCCATCATTAGAATGACATGTATGGGCAGAGGTCTGACTGAAAACTACTGTTGGGTTACACATTTGCCAACAGGTGTAGGCAAACAGGTAAATGACATACAGTATTTGTGTGGATTTAGTAAAGGAGCAGAGACTGTTCTTTTAGCAAGGCGAATGTTCACTTGGTTAAGTATGTGTTCACTTGTTTACTACCCAGTCATGTATAATGAAAATGTGAAAAAAAATAATTTTTCCATGCACTTGATTGAATGATTAAAGTGAACATAGATTGACCTTATTCACTAAAACAGCCCATACGGTGATATTGTTTTTTCCATTCAACCAGCGAGTTGAACGAAAAAAAAAAAAAAGATCCATTTCAGCCATGTACACATTCGATGTAAATAGGGAATCATTCCTGCTGCTATTCTGTCCTTATGGCGGGGAGCCTTCCCCACCATCTGAATACAATGGTCAGTATTTCCAGCTATAGATGGCGATATTGATTCTTCATGAAAAACCAGGGTGGTTATACAGAAGTTGATCAATAGAGCAACTTCTGTAGAACCAGGGTGCCCATACATTGATTGAAATTCAGCTGGTCCCTGGTGAGCCAGCAGAATTTCAATCCATGTATGGCAAGCTTAACACTGCTAAGTCAACAGTTTCTGTTCCTTTAGTAAATCAACCCCCGCTGTCTGGTTATAATTAGGTTAACTATTTACAAAATTTTAGAAGTTGGGTATCAAGGGGTGATGGACTAAAATTAGTTGCCATACTGCATACAGAGAAGCCCAAACAGCTTAAGGGACAGTAAAGCTGCATTTACACTGGAGCTGAGCATCCTTGGTCAATTTGCAAGCATTTTTTTTGAGTGTTTGTATAGGCATTTTTGCAGGCATCCAAGGCTTGAGCATATTTTCACAATTATTTTTTTTACCCAATGGAAAGCTAGCTACTAGAGAAAAGAAAATTATGATATGTACATTTTCACATATTTGTTTGCACATTTTTCAGGCACTTCCATTGAAGTTTGAGGCTTGTAGTTCAAAAGAACTCAAGCAGTTGTTGAGCTTCAAAATTCAAGGGATACTATGCTTAGGTGTGAATAGGCACAATGGAACAGCATATCGAGCGTTTTGCAGCTTCAAGCTCCAGAACGTCCAGATATAACAAATGTAAAATAATGAAAAAGCGTAATACCTCTTACTTATTTTCATTGTTATATTTTTACATTTCAATTTACAGCTGCAACAGCAACCTAAATATGAAGACAACTTATATATGTATTTATACTTTGTCATTTTCATCATATTTGGCTCCTTTTTCACTCTGAACCTCTTCATTGGTGTTATTATTGACAATTTCAACCAACAAAAAAAAGAAGATAAGTATTATAATCTAATACTGTGTTATTTGGATGGTTTGTCTATCGTGATATACTGTACGGTATGTTTATATTTTTAAAACATTTGTTAATTGGAACAGAATTTTGACTACTGTTTAGATTCCACAGTCACGCTCAGAACTACAAACAGGTTTTTCTAGCAAAAGTGTGTCCAAGAATCCCTATCAAAGAGATTAGATTCATTAAAAACAAAACAGTCAACTGATCACTACATGGAGGCATTAGAGTTCAATAAATGTGTTAGTACATAGTCTATGCCAACTGTCATGTGAGGGGCTTGTCTGCATCATTATAAAAGTAATAAAGTTTGCACAATACAAAAAATAAAACACAAATACATGGATGCATAACACAGCCACATCCACACAATCGAGACCCACAGACATACCCTAAATCCTCAATTTTATAGAATACATATAATTAGATAGAATGTGGTGCAGCTGTGCATAGTAACCAATCTGCTTTTAACTTCAACTTGTTCAATTAGGCTTTGACAATAAAACCTAGACGCTGGTTGGTTACTATGCACAGCTCCACCAGATTCTGTATGCACCAGGTTTAATTAATCTCCCCCAGTATTTTCTTTCTTTTATAAACATGATCCAATTGGTACTTTAGGAAAAGTGTGCTGAAGACTATGCTGCAGAACCAGAACATAATACATGTAGGCCTTTTTGTTAAATCACACCATTGTGCTCTTTACTCTCTTGACAAGGTTTTAAAACAGTTTCTATTCTCATTCTTTACTTTGGAGGTCAAGACATCTTCATGACAGAGGAGCAAAAGAAATATTATAATGCCATGAAAAAAACTGGGTTCTAAGAAGCCTCAAAAGCCCATTCCAAGACCACCGGTAAGTTGTTTAATTAGTACCGATACCTAAAATAATATTCATTTTTACAAGAAAGCATGTTATGAACACAGGCACAGAAGCTGATTTACAAAACATTTGAATTTTTCCAAATCCACATCTTTTCACAGGTGATAGAACTGTGTGCCAGGCCTTCGCAAAACTTGTGTCTTAGATACAGGGAAGACATCAAAGTCAACTGATTGATATATTTATTAATTTCAGATATTTATTTAGTGCTGACAATTTACAAAGCATTTTACATGCAGTATGTTCACATCAGTTGCAGTCCTTTAGGACTTTGCAGTCCAACATCCCTATCTCACATACATACATACAGTAAGCATACACACATACTAGGGCCAGTTTAGACAGGAAACAGTTAACCTACCAGCATGTCTTTGGAGTCTGGAAGGAGCACAGGGAGAACATGCAAACTCCATGCAGATAGTATCCTGGGTGCGATTCAGACCAACAGTGTAAAAACTAAATTTAAAATAAGTAATAAAATTTTAAAGAATGTAAAGTGCCCCCGACCACTCGTGCTCATGGGTAAAGGCGAACGCACACATATTTAAAAAGTGATCATACCACACATGTGAGTTAACCCCACGAATATCAGCGTAAGAGTAATAATTGTAGGGCCAGACCTACTGTGTAACTCTAAACTGGTAACTTGTAATGGCTTTTAAAGCATTGCCTGTGGATAATGTAATGTACTGTAGTTAGTCACCATTCCACGGGCATGTGCAATTTTAAATCAGGAAATGTTTGGTATCTGTTTACTCGGCATAATATAATTTTTTGAGATTTAGCAAAAAAAATTTGTATTATATTGTGTTTGTGTTCACTAAAATTCATTAAAGCAGAGTTCCAGTCAGTTTTGTGTTTATTAAAAGTCAGCAGCTATAAAAACTTTAGCTGCTGACTTTTAATAAACACTCACTTACCTGTCCCAGGGTCCAGCAATGTGCTCACCCGTGCCGTCCCTTCTTTGCCTCTTCTCTCTTCAGCACCATCATCTCTAGGGCATCTGCTTAAAAAGATAGTGTTTGGGTGTTATAAGTAGTTTTTTAGGAAAAAATTCAGATTTTTACATGTATGGCTTTGTTTACATTACATAGGCACGTTCTATAAGTAATTGGGGCCTACATGGATTCACCCAAAGAACAAAACTTTGTGGCAGGGTGATCAGGTGTTTTTAAAGCTAACCCTTTATTGCAGGAAGCTCAGATTGGAAGTTTTTTTTTTTTTTTCGCCTGAAAAGCATGGTGAAGTTAGAGGGCAATTTTCATGAAATTTCAAATGAAATGTGAAATGTGATAGTTATTCTTAAAAGCAAATATAGATTAATTGACGCATTCATTGACTCTTCCATTATTTTTGTCTGTTTCAGCAAAATTCTAGCATTGTATTTAATTACCAGTATGCAGAACTCAGACTTAGCTAGTAAAGAGAAATATGCTAACACAACAGTATATGTTAGAACTATTTTTTTACAGGAAGTGTTCACTAATGTTTTTTTTTTTAGAACAAATACCAAGGTTTTGTGTTCGATATTGTAACAAGGCAAGCCTTTGACATCACGATCATGATACTTATTTGCCTTAACATGGTAACAATGATGATTGAAACAGATGAACAAAGCCAAGATATGGAAAACAACTTGTACTGGATCAACTTGGTCTTCATTGTCCTGTTCACTGGTGAATTTGTGATGAAGCTGATCTCACTGCGGCATTATTACTTCACAATTGGCTGGAACATATTTGATTTTGTTGTTGTCATTCTCTCCATTGTTGGTAAGTATTGTTAGTGCTACACAAGTGTAGAATTATTGTGAATAACGTCAAAGCAAAGGAAAAATAGTGATGTTGTTCAAAGGACGCAGAGATACCTGGATTTCCACTCTCATTATACTGTATATATAACCAACAAATGTATTCATTTGCTATAAGGACTGAACTGTTTGCAATATTGCAGACAATACATCAAACAAATTTTTAGTACAGATATAATGCTACATTTTGATTCCTCGCTTTTTTTTTTTCAAAAAAGTGAACCAAGCTTTTGTACTGTACTGGACAGGTGTAACAGGACTACTATTGGTAAAAAAAGGTTTAATCTTTTTCTAAGGTACGAGTTGTAACAATTTAATTCCCAGAATGGACTGTGAAAAAAAACATTTTCTTACCTATACACTAGCAGCTGTTGTCACCTTCAATGTAGTCCCCTTATGAAGCGATGCACTTTTCTAGACAACTGTGCCACTACCAGAACCTTTCCTGGAATTCTTTTTCCAGAACGCTGTACAGTATCTTTGTCACGGCACACTGCCAAAAATGTAATCAGATCAATGTACTTTTAAGGCATTTTTAGTATTGGAAAAATGAAAGTTTGCGAAAGTCACAGGTGCTTAGTCAGGGGACTAGGGTGGTTGGTCAGGTTTTGCAATGGATTTCTGGGCTAGGAACTCACAAACACCTAAAGCATCATGTGTAGGAACATTGTCATGGTGGAGAATCCACTTGTCAGGCCAGAGGGCCAGTCTTTTTCTCCAGACAGATTCTTGTAACCTTTACATCTTCCACATTTGCATCCATCCTTTGCTTTTTTTGGCTGCCCACTTCCTGCGTCATTGTGAACATCTTCCTGCCCCTCCTTAAAACCACGTATACCATTTATAAACACTTAATAAGCCTGTTGTAACAGAGCTAATGTTTCACTCACATTTTTGCAAATTTCCACACAAAATTTGATGTTAATCAGCTGCTCCAGATTCCTGTCACTAATTTTCTGCCAACAGCGCAACGCACACATGTTATTTCTTCTACTAATTTGTAAAGACTTTAAAGAATCAATTGGTCTGTGACCCAGGCAAGTGCAAGCTAGAACATGTCAGAACAGACTTGAATGTAAATGGCTGGGTGAATCACCACCGTAGTGCTATGCGTGGGCACTCCTGGAATTAAATTGTCACACCTTGTACATTCGAGAAGGGCAGCTTTTTCTTCCTTAAGTAAACTAATATATGCTTTTGAACTTAAGCTATTTCTTGTGGTGTTGAAATAGTAGGTGCCTTTGTCTATTTGTGGGACACATATTGAAACCAAGATTAATGGTAACATGGTTCATCACACTTCTCTGTGTCAAACTCGTGTAAACTAAAATATGAAATGTAATACAAATATTAATGTCAGTGTAATGTATATAATTATTTATTACCTGTCTTACCCTGTACTTGTTTAGCCAGTGTGGTGACAATTTAAAAAAAAAAGAAAGAAAGAAAGTTTACCACAGCCAGTCCGTTGATTCCCCTATCCATGCTTCCTAGCAGGTATTGCATTTAGACAGCTGTACGAATACCCGATTACTGAACAGTTAGGAACAACCAAGCTCCTTTAATTTTTCAGCCACATTTTCTGGAGCTTGGTGTGGAGATGAGCACAATGGTATTCATTACTTTCAATAAATAATTAGTATGTTGTATTTGTATGGTCTCTGCAGCTGAAAAACTAGAAACTAGAAAAAAATGCACCATGGATAACATAATAGACCCAGTTGTCCTAAAGCTTAAGGCTAAGCTGCCCATTTTCTTTCTACTCACCTTTCTCACTCGCAGTTAGCACCTTCCCTGCCAATGTTCCTACATAAAATGAAAATTGTGTATCCTTTTCTTCACAGCTATGATAATCAATGAAGAGACAAACACTCACTGCATTCATTTCCTGATTAGAGACTTCCACACTGCTGTGAAAAATTCTATAGTTGGGAGATGCTTACAGCTGTGAAGAAGTAGACTCTTGGGTTTTGACATTGAAGTATCTTTTTAGGTTACAAATATAAAACAGTAGGGATTTTTAATACACTACTAAGCCAGTCACTCAGTGCAATGATGTGCATATTACTTGTTCTGATATCTAATATGTGCATGGTTGTTCCAGCACAGTAAATCACTAACATGAGGATGAATAAAAAAAAAAAAAAACAACCTGTATTTTGAAGCTTCAAATAAAATCCATTGGCCATTTTCTAAATTTTGTTCACTAGTCTTGCATTTGACTAGGGTCAGTGTCACTACTTGTAGCATGAGGTGATACCTGGATCCTACAGAGGCAGCAAAGGCAGTCCAACTCCTCCAGGATGGCACATCAATACGTGCCATTGTCAGAAGGTTTTCTGTGTCTCCCAGCACGGTCTCAAGGGCATGAAGGAGATTCCAGGAGATAGCCAGTTATTCTAGGAGAGCTGGACAGGGCCATAGAAGGTCCTTAACCCATCAGCAGGATCGGTATCTGCTCCTTTGTGCAAGGAGGAACAGGATGAGCACTTCCAGAGCCATACAAAATGGCGTCCAGCAGGTCACTGGTGTGAATGTCTTTGACCAAACAATCAGAAACAGACTTCATGAGGGTGGCCTGAGGGTCCAACATCCTCTAGTGGGCCTTGTGATCACTCCCCAACACCATAGAGCTCGATTGGCATTTGCTATTGAACACCAGAATTGACAGGTCTTCCACTGGCACCCTGTGCTTTTCACAGATGAGAGCAGGTTTACCCTGAGCACATGTGACAGACGTGAAAAGGTCTGGAGAAGCCATGGAGAAAGTTATGCTGCCTGTAACATCATTCAGCATGACCGTTTTGGTGGTGGGTCAGTGACAGTCTGGGGAGACATATCCATGGAGGGACGCACAGACCTCTACAGGCTAGACAACGGCACCCTGACTGCCACTAGGTATCGGGATGAAATCCTGGGACCCATTGTCAGACCCTGCTGGTGCAGTGGGTCCTGGTTTCCTTCTGGTGCATGACAATGCCTGGCCTCATGTGGGAGAGTATGCAGGCAGTTCCTGGAGGATGAAGGAATTGATACCATTGAATGGCCCCCATGCTCGCCTGAGCTAAATCCAATAGAACACCTCTGGGATATCATGTTTCGGTCCATCCAAAGCCGCCAGGTTGCACCTCAGACTGTCCAGGAGCTCAGTGATGCCCTGATCCAGATTTAAGAGGAAATGCCCCAGGACACCATCCGTTGTCTCATTAGGAGCATGCCCCGATGTTGTCAGGCATGCATACAAGCACATGGGGGCCATACAAACTAGAGTACCATTTTGAGTTGCTGCAATGAAATTTCAGCAAAATGGACTAGCCTGCTGCATAATTTCTTCACTTTGATTTTCAGGGTCTTTGAATTCAGTCCTCTGTAGGTTGATAATTTTCATTTCCATCAAACGATGGGGCATCCTTATGTTCCTAACACATTACCTAGTCCATATCAGTATAGATATCCAGCATGATATTTTTCCCCATTGAGATCTGGTGTGTTTTCAAAGTGTTCCATTAATTTTTTTGAGCAGTGCATATGTTTAGGTGGGGGGCTTATTTACAGTTTTTATAGTTGACCAAAAGTCAGCCTTACATCAAATGTGTTGTGTGGAAGAGAGGCAGATATGTAAATCATATGTGATCTGATCCCAGTTAAAACTGCTGCAGCTTCTGTTCCTGTGTCACTGAGGTTTATGATATAGTAGCCTTTAACCCTTTCCACTGCCAGGTCCGTATGTCGTATGGATCTGAGAGTGGGGCGTTTTACACACAATCCAGTGGCTGTAGCCACTGGTTTTGTGTCCAAAAGTGACAGACTCCTGCCTTCAGGTGGAAGCAGTCGGGCGGCTGCTCTGCCGCCTGATTGCTTCCACAGCCCTTAGTAATAGTGTCTCCCCCACATGTACTCCCACCATGCATTCTGAACTCCACTTACCCATCTCCGGGTCCAGGGCTGACATGGCAGGTGCCGACGGGTAGAGGGGAGGGAGGAGAGTTGTCACATCTGCTCCCCTCCCCTTCTTACTGTGACCTGGAAAGCAATGTGTATGATGTCACTTCCGGGTCAACGCTGTCATTTTCCATTGCTAGAATAGCCAGGGAGAAATGTATTGCAGTGTGATCTGCATTGTAATACACCCAGTGGAGGCCAGAGGAGATATGCAGGATCATTTAGACCCTGCATGTCTGATTAAAGAGAATCTGTCACCTAAAAATCATCACATAGGGGACATAGAAGTTACGTTAAACAATTGTTTTTTTTTTTGCAGAAAAATAAAGTTACACCCAAGCAAATATTTTCCCCCAAAAAAAATTTTGATGCCTCCCACCCCCACATACGCACGTACAAATATAAACGCAGGGGTCTGGGTCGCCTATGTCGATTGTGATACACATATTATGTATCTCCCCACACGCTTAAGTGAGAGCAATAATTACAGCACAAGATCTCCTCCTTAACACTAAACTGATGATCTGTAGGGGCTTTTGAAGTTTCACCTATAGAAAATATAGGGTACTGAAGTTTGTCACCTATTCACAGGTGCACGCAAATTTAAAGTTTGACATGCAACCTTGTCTTTTATATTTTACCAAAAGTTTGGGTAATTTATTGCGCATGTTTGCCCTAAAATTCACTTTACTGTGTAAGTGGTATGGTGGAACTACCACTATTTCTATTCTCTAGGGCAGGGGTGTCAAACTGGTGGCCCTCCAGCTGTTGCGAAACTACAACTCTCATCATGCCTCTGCCTTTTGGAGTCACACTTGTAACTGTCAATCTTTCAATGCCTCATAGGACTTGTAGTTTGGCAACAGCTGGAGGGCCGCCAGTTTGACACCCGTGCTCTAGGGTGTCTGCTTTCAGAAAATATATAATTTTTGGGGGTTTTGTGTAATCTTCAGGCCTAAAATAATTTTTTAAACATGTGCAAAAAAGGCTCTGGCAGTGAAAGGGCTAACACAAGTTAAGCCATTAATGTCTGTTTTGCATTTCCACTGAAAGATGCCTGATGTTGCTATTTTATTGACTCACATTGATCCCTGCTGAAAATTTCTTCTGGGGCAATTTCAGACATGGACTGCAAGCGCCGATCCTATGCTGACTTTCCAGCAGGTCCATTTTGACAGAAGCCGGTCTAATGACCAGCTTCTGTTGAAGAAATAGGAGTACACACGTACCAAAATTCTTCCAATTCCTGCTGGACATGTACACCCTGCTAAGTCTGTCATTAGGCCAAGGGGCATGTGGGCTTGCCTGCACAGCCTGGTGTTTTCATGATTTCCCTCCTCTCCACAAATTTTGTCTTTGTACTTATACAACATACATTATTTGTTTATATTTTTTAAAATGTTAATTGCAAAGTTCAAAATTTATGTCATGTTATTTTTTAAAATGTTGCCAGTCCTCTTTAACATCTTTATTTTTATTTTTAGGCATGTTTCTGGCAGACATGATAGAAAACTATTTTGTTTCTCCAACATTATTCAGAGTTATAAGACTTGCCAGGATTGGGAGAATCTTGCGTCTCATTAAAGGAGCCAAGGGAATTCGTACTCTGCTTTTTGCTTTGATGATGTCACTTCCTGCACTGTTCAATATTGGTCTTCTGCTGTTTTTAGTGATGTTCATTTACGCCATCTTTGGAATGTCCAATTTTGCTTACGTCAAGAAAGAAGCTGGAATTGATGACATGTTTAATTTTGAAACATTTGGCAACAGTATGATTTGCTTGTTCCAAATCACTACATCAGCTGGGTGGGATGGCTTATTAGCACCAATTCTGAATAGTGGTGCACCAGACTGCAACCCATATGCAGAACACCCTGGGAGTTCTGTAAAAGGGGATTGTGGTAACCCCTCTGTTGGGATTTTCTTCTTTGTTAGTTATATCATCATATCCTTTTTAGTGGTGGTAAACATGTATATTGCTGTAATTTTGGAGAACTTTAGTGTTGCTACAGAGGAAAGTGCAGAACCCCTTGGAGAGGATGACTTTGAAATGTTTTATGAAGTTTGGGAAAAGTTTGATCCAGATGCAACACAATTTATTCAGTACAGTAAATTGCCTGATTTTGCTGATGCTCTGGATCCACCTCTTCGCATACCAAAACCAAACAAAGTTCAGCTTATTGCAATGGATCTTCCCATGGTAAGCGGTGACAGAATTCACTGCCTTGACATCTTGTTTGCCTTTACAAAGCGAGTGTTGGGTGAAGGAGATGAAATGGATAATCTTCGCCAACCAATGGAAGAGCGTTTCATGGCATCCAACCCTTCAAAGGTCTCCTATGAACCAATTACATCTACCTTAAGGAGAAAACAAGAGGAATTGTCAGCGATCATCATTCAGCGATGTTTCCGACACTATCTTTTACGGAAAACTATTAAACAAGCTTCATATATGTATAGAAAAGAAAAAATGAAAGAAGTAAATAGCTTGCCCATTAAAGAAGACATGGTTATTGATAAGCTTAATGGGAACTCAACTACAGAGAAGACTGATATGACACCTTCTACAACATCACCTCCATCATATGATAGCGTAACAAAACCAGAAAAGGAAAAACATGAAAAAGACAAAGCAGAAAAAGAGGACAAAAGCAAAGATGCCAGGGAGAATAAAAAATAAAAATGCACATTTTTTCATTTGTGTGATAAATTGTTTACAACCTGTGAAGATGACCCATCTGTGTCAACAGGACTCCTCTGGGAGATCTATGCCAAACTGACAGTTCTTGCATACATGTACTCAAGGTCAGTGCCTATAATAAGACAGTGACCTCTTGTCAAGAGATGGTGTATCAGCCTTGACTGGTGGTTACTGTTTAAATAACCAGGTTGACACTTCTTACGCAGAGGGCCAAAAACGGCTTCTCAGTCTGTTGGGACCAGTCATGGGAATGCAAACTTTTATTGTTTGTGTGTTTCACATAAAACACTGTAGTACAATAATTGTGTCCACTGTTTGCATTTTCAATTACCATACTGCCATATGTTTACAGACTTGTGTTAGTGGATCAACTGTTTTTTTTTTTTTTTTTTTTTTTTATTTGTAGGTCATTTATTTATATATGTGACTATTTTTGTATATGGGTTTTACAGTACATTGGGGATATAATACAACCTTAAAAAAAATATTATAAGTCTAAGAAAAAAAAAAAGACGACCACACACTGTACATGTGAGGAGGTTATTCACATTAACTCGAGCAGTCAGTGGGGACTCGTAGAAAACAAGAAGGCACACCTAAGCTTTTTCAAATATTGACACCGATGTGTGGGCTAGGATAGAAAAGTGTTTGCACCTACAATATCATCCCAGAAGTGACTATGAAATAAAGTCAATTTACGCATATGGCAAATCTACTTCTTAAGGTCGTCTTGCTACTCAAAAACCAATGAATCATAAAGAGCACTCCCATCTTTGTCCAGATCTCTAGATCGCATCTTCTCACTTTTTCCAGGTAAATTAAAAAGTGATTTTAAATAAAACATATATTAATAAAATACCATTGGCTGCTGTTATTGAGTGGCAGATATATGTTTGGATCAAAAGAGTAGGAAATATATCAAGTGCATATACTAAAACCAAACAAAATGGAGGATTCTTTGGATTGTGAGTGATATTTAGTGAACAAGACTATTTAATAAAACAAAATTCCTATCAATATAGAGTAATGTCACTTATTTGTATATTTATTTTATTGAAACAGTTATATTTAATAATTATGCACTGTTGAGTTATATAATAATAAAATAGGGACCGTGACGATCTTTGGGGGAAAGCATATATTTAAGAAAATATATATATCATTGTTTATTAAGAAGGTTTAGAATGGAAAGATGAATAGTTACTTGCAGAGAGTTAGCCCTTGCACATAAAAAAACATGTGCAAGCTGTGGTCAGCAACTCAAGATCATTTCTCTGACCCATTATGTGCCTGTGAACTCCCGAGTCTTTGTAGCATGGAAATATAGGTGTGTTTTGCCAAAGGACAGAAACTCCTATTGTGTTTGCCTAAATGGTTTGTCTGTCTTCAAAAAAAAACAGACCAGATGACAGCACATTAGTAATTTTGAAAGTGTTCCATAATGGAATGTACAACAGAAATTATCAAGGCAAAACACATCTCCCCATAAGAAGCACGTCTATACATGCTTATAAAGTAGGTTGTGGCTGTACTATGTATAGGGCCCATGCCATTTAAGGGTTTAGACAGTAGCAATTAACAAGACTCCATTTGAGATTTTCCAAGACCTCTGCGTGAAATGCATTTCCTGTTCCAAAATCAATAGTGGGAGAAGGGCCAATATGTACTTCATTGATGTTTAATATCAAGTTTGTTGATGATGTTGGAATTTTATGTCTACAACAACAGACTGATGTGACCACATGATGACATATTCCACAAGATGCTATCATGACACTTAAAGAGGTGTATCATTTATCGATTTCACTGGTAAAAACAAATTAATCAATAAATGGGCGTCTTCCCTGAATGATTGTAATTATTTTTTGACACAAACTCATGCAAAAGAAACTGTTGCTTCATAAATGAAGAAATAGCTGTGTTACACTGTTGCCAAAACCAGTTGTGTACTGTCTTAACAATTCTGTGTTACAAAAAAGTGATAGTACCTTTCAAATGTTAATGTAGACTCGGTCTTTTGAAAAAATGCAAGTGTTTTGATAATATATTATACAAACTGTCTTGAATGTACATTGTAGATAAAACAGCAATTGTATTCCACTTAGCATGTCACAGTATGGGACTCCTTCAACATTTATTCCATACAAAGTGTCTTAATTATATTTTTGTCTTATACAGTGTACAGGATACAGTATGGACACAAAACATAAATGCAGGGCCCCCATTCATCACTAATTTTTTCTTTTTTTATTACGTCTGAAAAAAACTTTACCTGGATCTTTGTGACATTTTCTAAGATTCTTTATTTAAGCTGATAGTTGAAAATTAATAAAAATACGTATTGGCTACTTAAATTATGTTTGGGTATGTGGTATAATTAATGAATTGAGTTTTATTGCTGCTTGCTTATTTTTACATAAGTGTCTGTCAGGTCTAGTAGCAATTTTTAGCTCTTTTTTAAACAACTTGCCATTTAAGTATAAAGATATTGACATGGATTTATTAAATACATAGAATGATAATTTAGACTAACTAGTGCAGCTAAGTTCACTTAAATAAATTGTATGCAAGGGAAAGTCCCATTATTTTAATTGCTTGTCACTAGGTGAACAAATTTTTATTGAGCTAACTGAACGCTGACCTCCTCTATGCCACCAAACCGACTATAGGTAAGGGCTCATTCACACTATTGCTTTGTGGTAACATACACAGTGAAAGACAATGCACATTTCATATGTGGTGTATTGAGGTGCAATCAGTGGTGTATTTAGGTATCGTGCCGCCCTAGGCAACACAAAAATTGTTTCCCCCCATTGACCAACAACACTCCAGCCCCCCACCCAAGAGAGCCTTCCACTACCACCGCCCTCCATACAATGGTAACCCCCACCCCACCCCGACAAGAGATAAAACACTCACCTTCACAGCTCCGGACATCCCCGGGAACAAGAGTCAGGCTCTGCATACACCATCAAGCAGCCCAAAGCCTCTCTCAGATCCCACCTGGTCCCTGTGCTGCTCATGTCCCTTTTTTCTTTCCTTCTTTCAGGGAACAGTGCTACCCCCTGAAAAATGCTGCCCTAGGCAAATGCCTGGTTTGCCTTGTGCTAAATACACCCCTGGGTGCAATGCTTTCAGAATGACACTCCAACGCACCTTGCTAATGGACATGCATGACAACAAACTAACATGCATGGAAAGAGGGAGGATGGAATGCTGTATTCCAAAGGAGCAGCCCAAGTGTAAGGAAGAGTGAAAGTGGCTTCATCCCAGCTCCTTTCAGAGCATGCTTCCCAATGCGTTTCACCTCGCCCACAGGGCTTAGTCATAAGGGTTATCACTAAGCCCTGTGAGCACGGTGAAACACATCAGGGGCATGATCTGGTAGGAGTCAGGCTTCTGCCACTTTTACTCTTCATTACAACTGGGCTGTTCCTTTGAAGTGTGGCATTCCATCCTCCCTCTTTCCATGTGTCTATACAGAGCTGGGATGGGCTATTTTAACTCTGGCACCCACATTCAGTGCGAGTCAACGGAGTAATATAGGATGAGAGCGGCACTCGGGGCCTATATGGTTCTCCAACACACTAACATGCGCTGTGCTACCAGAAGTTGTACATGCACCATTTTTTGGTGAGTTTGGCAGCCTATTCAAGTGAATAGGCTTCTGTGATGCAATGCATATCAATGTGAAGAATAACATGTTAGCGCCCCACAATAGTGTGCATGTGCCATTAATCTTTAGTCACCACAAGGTAAGTCGTTCAATTGATTACAGAAGAACTCCAGTCACTAGAAATAATACATCAATTTTTCCAGTAGTAAATATGTGCAGATGGTTTTCTAAACCAAAAACTGGAGTCAATTTTTTTCCTTCCAATTTATTCATCAGAAAATACAAAGCAGGCACTGGCATATAGGTGCCATAAACCATACTACAAAAATATTTGTTTATGCTATATTTTTGCAGAGGCACATCTTATACTGTATGTAAAAGTATCTTTGTATATAAATTTAGATATTAGCAGATACAGTGTCATCATAGTTAAGTCAGCTTTCTACAGCAATATTTTTAAGTGCAATGTAATTATACCTGCTGCCATGCAACAATATAATACTTATATGTGCATTTTCCGATGGCATTTCCCCTGGAGGTGAATTACTAAAGGTGTGCATATTCAGTGAGCCTGTGTTAGACTGGCCTTAGACTAAAGGAAGGTGGTTCATTGTGCAGGCACAAACTAACCAAGTCATGTCAAGGTCATGATTAACCAGTGGGCATGGATTGCTATCACAGACATGAAAGTATCCCCCAGGCCAGATGAAATGAGCTCAGGACTGGTTTTCCATTAACAGATCCTGTTGATGCCCATTGCAACCTCCCTCTGCTAGGATCAGGTATTTTACATAGGACACTTCCTTGTTTGTTTGTCCTAACCTGGTGTAGAATGTTTTGATAATGTGTCATTGACATTATTTTAGATGACTTATCCCACTGATAATGGCTGAAAAGTCTGTGGCCAATAGTTATAGATAATGAAACCTCTTTGTCTCCGGCACCCATAGGCCCAAGCCTACTGTGCCTAATGGCAACTCCAGCATTGAATGAGCCAGATTGGGGAATAGCCATCTCATTTTCATGACCAGCTGTTTGTTTTCCATGTTTGGTTTTGCTGTTGCATACAAACACAGGTTGGCTGATTTATTGTAAGCTCCCAGTAAATCACCTCCTTGTATGTGTAATCTTAAGATTAGGCAGAACAGCATATTTTCCAATGACATAGATTCATTGGCATAGTTAAATTTATTGCAGAATAGAACATTTAGAAATTTATGTTAATGAAAATCTTTTTTTTTTTTAAGCAAATCTAAAACATTATTTAGTATTTTATAACATGTTTTGCACTTTACTTTTTCACAATATTTATATTTAAAGGTGAGCATATTCAGTGAGCCTGTGTTAGACTGGCCTTAGACTA